GCTATGGCGCATCAGGCCCTGCATACGACAGCGCGCATGGAACAACGGGTACCAGCTCTGATACCAATGCAATCAGACTCGTCTTATTCCCACTTTTCATGTATGTAAACAACAGCACAGCACACTGGCGACATGCGCCCACTCAGAACTCAGAGATATGGCTTCCAGATATGAGTTCTCTTTCAACTGGCTATGGCGACTTAGCGCCCAAACAACTCACTGTTCACACCCTGGATCACCCGGGTTCCTACACACGTCACTCTGAACACTCACACATGCACACACACTCTTCCCACTAACTACAGCTATGGCAGTTATGGCTGCCTCTAACCTATCGCTATGCTAACCCTCCTCTCTCGCCCACTGCGTCCTCCGGGCCCCCTGCAGACCTCCTTGCACAAGTCGTTGTGGCAGCGCTTCCGCACGGCTCACGCAGGAATGAATGAAAAGTTGGGCGCTACCTCTTGATTTATACTTAAGGAACTCGTTGGTCTGCCCTTTGCCATCGGCCCATGGTGCTCACAGTCCCCCGTGGTACTTGCTGGACCGGACTGGGACTGACTGGACCTTACCGCTGACGGACTGTGGACTTACTGCTATCCTACCGACGTTGTACTGCTATTGCATTGCAGTTTAGTCCACCACTTGCCTCGCCACTTGACCACTTGCCCACTTGCCTACCTTCTAGAAGGACTACAGCTTAGCTTCTGGAACCCACTAAGACTTCTATGTTGTAGACCTACAGATCGAACCCCTGCTACCTATGGACCTACGACAGACCTACCAACTGTCTACAAATACACAGGTCAAAGGTTCAATTCTCGGGGTCTACACGGATACTGTACATGGGTAGGGTGAGGTCTAGGGAACGAACCCTGGTGCTGCATCGGCTACTGGTAAGAGGTGAAGACCGTTTTACACCCACCGATAGATCTGTTATCTTCGCGGGAATTCTTTTACAATTGGGAACTTACGTTTTTTAAAGATTTTCTGGAGATGAATTCAATTTTGGAGTAGAAAATGTAGAAGTGTTTGGGGAACCAAAAATGATTTTGCCTAAACAAACAAAAAGGATATGCAAAAATAAACTAGCTTGGACTGAATTAAAACAAATATGGCGAAGTGACAATAATCGCGTAAAAGTTTTTTTTTTGAATTCAGTAAATG